AGGAGGGGCGGCGCTGGGCCGGGCCCCCCGGGTATTTATTGCTGTACATAGTGTATGTTTGTGATATATGAGGTTTTCTTTATTTTGTATATGATCAATAAACACCTTTTAAAGAGATTGGCAGGTGTTTCTTTGCGGCGGGGCCGGAAGCGGCGGGCGGGGCGGGCCGGAAGGGGCGGGGAGGTCCCGCGCATGCGCCTGGCTCGAGGGCTGCCGGCGAGGCGGAAGCGGAAGCGCGGGTGCTGGGGAGAGATGGCAGCCGGCGGTCTGAGCCGCTCGGAGCGCAAGGCGGCGGAGCGGGTCCGCAGGCTGCGAGAAGAGCAGCAGCGGGAGCACCTCCGTCAGGTAGGCCGCAGCCCGCGCTCCGCTCGGGCCCGGTCCCGGACCCTCGCGCCATTCACCGCCCGCCTGCCTGCAGGTGTCCCGCATCCTGAGGAAGGCGGCGGCCGAACGCAGCGTGGAGGAGGGCCGGCTGTTGGCTGAGAGCGAGGACCTGGTGACAGAGCTGCAGGGCCGAAGCCGGCGGCGCGAGGGCCTAAAGCGGCGCCAGGAAGAGGCGAGTTCCGCGGGCAGGCCGGGCGCGGCACTCCAGGGACGTCCTCGGCGCTCCGCGCGGGCTGGGCCGCTCGCTCCACCCGGCGCGCCGTCACCTCCCCCGGGGTGACAGCAGGCTTGGGTCTCGGTGTGTGTCGTAAGAACACGAGCTCATCGTAGTCCAGTGCGTGCTTCGTGTCGGGGCTCGTTCCGACCGCGTTTCGGCATGTCTGCTGGAGCTGTCATCAGCCCAGGACTGCTTGGCTCCGGCTATTTAAAGCCGCAGGGTGGGAGGCAGGAGCGAAGGACTGGGTCGTGACCAGCCTCGGCGTCTTCGTAGGTGTGCGATGACCCGGAGGAGCTGCGAGGGAAGGTCCGGGAGCTGGCCAGTGCTGTCAGGAGCGCCAAGTACTTGGTGGTCTACACAGGCGCAGGGATCAGCACGGTAGGGAGGCGTGAACAGCCGTGCCCCACCCCCAGTCACCCCAGGCCCACCGGACTCCTGGTCCCAGAGAAATTGAGACTTCAGAGACTGCTCCGTGGGTCACGTGGCTGCCGGCCGTGGGATGACCATGGGGCGCCCTCTTCTGGGTGATGCACCCTGGAACAGAAGGCAGCATTAGAGACGGGGAAAGACAAGGATCTTGAGTCACCAGTAAACTCATCTTGAAAGCAGCTCTAAGGTGTTTTCCTTTCTTACAGAAACACGAACGATTCTATTTGATAGGGAGCATAAAACCGCAAACACTAAAGATGCTTGAACTCTATGTTGTATCCTGTGAAAGAGGAGAAAGGGAGAGGGGAAGGAGGGACACCCAAGGACATTACAGCTTAGGGCTTGCAGGCCCCCCTTGTTAGGAGGAAAGGAGGGGAACCGACCAGCCCCGTGGCTGTGGGGCAGAGGTAGGCCCACAAGTCTTCCTGCCTCCAGCATCCCCATGGTTTCTGCATGTTGGAGGAAGGTAAACAGTGAGACAGGATTCGAGTTCCAGGTAAAGGAAGGAAGGGCATCCAGTCCGGAGACGTTTAGGAGGAGCTCTGGCACATAACTAGCTTTGGGAACGTGACCGACACATTCTGCATCCATGGATGGTCATTCAGTTCAGCCACGTGTGGCCTGGCAGAGGTGAACACCAAGTGATTCCTGTAGGGGAGAATCCTCTTGGTAAAATGACAAGGTGTGCAAGCCAACAGCTGTACCCTGAAACCAAAGGTGTAAGCTCACTGGGCCAGAAATCCATGTTGTTAGGGTCAGGGAGTTTGAAAACACATAGAGTTGGCTTCTGTGGGGAGATGGCCTTGAACCAGGGCCTCCTAGTGAGAATGTGGGAGGTTCTCTTTGCTCAAACAGTGCCTGGAGCCCAGGCTGTCAGGCCCCGCCCCTTTTATCACCTGTACCACCCAGTCTGATTACTGAAAGGCGGTGCTGTTGGGGGTCCTAAAAATCAAGTGCTGCTCATTCACTTGATGAGAAGCCAGGTCCTTCTGGTGCCAGAGCAGATACCTGGGTGCTGCAGCCTTCTGGCTCCTTGTTTTGGGTGGGCTTGATTCCCTGGCCCAGAAGCTTGGAAGTGAAGTAGGGTTTTACCTGGTCTGGAGATACTGTCCTGGCATTTTTCAGGGAGGGCTGGAGCCCCTGAAGTAAGAGGATCAGACAGAGCAGCTTCCCTCTTAGGGGTCTAACCACTTGGGATTTCTTGAGCACTGGGCTCGGCACTGGGGACACCCAGAGGAGCCTGACCGGTGTTCCTCCCAGCGGAGGGCAGACAACCAGATAGCAGAGGTTTGTGGGTGGTGCTTAGGGGTACCCAGAGGGGTGGGGCTCCTACAGGATGAGCTGGGTGCTACAGGGAAGGGCTAGTCTAGGAAGGGGGAGCTGCAAGGGTTACACTCACCTTCCTGAGACCATCACAGGCTCTGGGGGATGGGCAGCCCTGGGCTGGCCCGGAGCTAGGCAGCAGAGACACCTACTTCCTGTCCTTGGGAATCTGGCCAGTCCCTGCAGTGAGGCCCTTTCATTGGGCATGTCCTCTCTCTGAACATGCAGGCAGCTTCCATACCAGATTACCGGGGCCCCAATGGAGTGTGGACGCTGCTACAGAAAGGGAGAAGCATCAGGTAAGCAGGCCTCGTGCTGCGTGCCTGGGGACCGCAAAGCAGGAGAGGCGGGCCGGGACGGCAGGGCTCTGACCCCGTGGCAGCCTTACCTCGCTCTCCTTCCCACTGCGCAGTGCCACTGACCTGAGTGAGGCTGACCCAACCCTCACCCACATGAGCATCGCCCGCCTGCATGAGCAGAAGTTGGTGAGTGTTCCAGAGGAGCAGAGCATGGCTTGGCCCGGGCTGAGGCCCCTTGACTCTTAACAGTTTCGGTCCCAGAGCTGCTGCAGCCCCTCCCCCTCAGGCCCACTGCGTTGCTCTCACAGACTTCAAGTGCAGCCTGCCTCACGGGTCAGTCCACATCGAGTGGGGAGGGTGGGTTCACATGGGTCTGAAGGGGCCCATGACAGTGACCCAAGAGCATGTGCTCTGGGCATAGTGGCCCCTGTTGGCCTCACCGAAACCCTGAGTCCTCTCCTAACTCAGAGAAGAGCTGCCCCCAGCTGCCTGTCATCCGGTTGCGTCAGAGCTGAGGGGAAGGCACAGCACTGGCTGAGTGACTCAGAGCCCAGAGCTATCTCGGGTCCTGGAGCTCGCAAGCTTGCTGGCTCGGACGCGACCATCGAGACCGGTCCAGCTTCGAGGTGTCTCTGCTGACTGTGCCCCCTTGTTCTGCCAGGTGCAGCATGTAGTGTCTCAGAACTGTGACGGGCTCCATCTGCGGAGCGGGCTGCCCCGCTCGGCCATCTCGGAGCTTCATGGGAACATGTACATTGAGGTGTGTGGCCCTTCCCGCTCACAGTGGGTCTCCTTCACGGTGCGCTCCCTGCTCACAGGGGCCCCTTCTTACTCATGCTTCCCTCTCACGGGGCACTCCCCATTCCCACAAGCCCTCTCCCCTCATGAAGCCCCCCTCACGGACCCCCTCCCTCAGGTCTGTACCTCCTGCACCCCCAACCGGGAGTACGTGCGGGTGTTCGACGTAACGGAGCGCACTGCCCTGCACCGGCACCAGACGGGCCGGGCCTGCCACAGGTGTGGGGCCCAGCTCCGGGACACCATCGTGCACTTCGGGGAGCGGGGCACATTGGGGCAGCCGCTGAACTGGGAGGCGGCCACCGCGGCTGCCAGCAAAGCAGACACCATTCTGTGCTTGGGTTCCAGCTTAAAGGTACGAGGTGGCGATGCTAGAACACACAGAGCCAGCTGGTCTGGCCCCTGGTCCCCTTCCTCCCATGCCACCCAACCCTGCGCGGAGCCCGGCTCCCACCAGCCTCCTTGTGTGTGTGCGTGTGTGTGTGTGCACACTGTCACATGCACACTGTCTGTCTGTTACCACAGGTCCTGAAGAAGTACCCCCACCTCTGGTGCATGGGCAAACCCCCCAGCCGACGGCCCAAGCTCTACATCGTGAACCTGCAGGTAATGCGGCTTGAGACATCATGGCCTGGGGCTCAGGGTGGAAGAACCCGCAGGCCCAATGCAGGCCTGGGGGGCACTGACTGAGTGGGAGGAGGACCAGGTTGCTGGAGGGAAGCCGATGTTGCACTCACACCCCCCCACAGTGGACACCCAAGGATGACTGGGCCACCCTGAAGCTGCATGGGAAGTGTGATGACGTCATGCGACTCCTCATGAGCGAGCTGGGCCTGGAGATCCCCCTGTACAGCAGGTGAGTGGCGCCGCAGCCCACTGTCCGTGTGCACACCTGTGCCCGGTGCTGTGGCGCATCACTCCCTCGGGCACAGGGCTCTGCTGACGCACTCCTGTCCGATGTCCCCTCTGTCCCGGAGGCGATACCTGGTGGGAGGCAGTCTGAAGGGCCCCGTCTGGGCAGCTCTGGGCAGCAGAACCTCGGAGCACCGGTGTCTGGGCATTGACGGACCTGTGGGGGCTTAAGCTGAGTCTTAATGCAAACTTGTGATGATTGCGACGCGGTGTGTGTCCTGAGTACAAAGTTGACACTCTCTTTCTCTGTGAATTTCAGGGTCTTTTAGGGGAAATCAATAACTTCTTTTAATCAAAGGGTTCAAGAGATTAAGGATCCATTCACCTTCTGGGCCTGGCAATTCCTGTATGTTATGTGTGTGGTGTTCTGTGCTGTGGGCCTCTTGTGTCCTGTATTTTGTTTTCACATTAACTTAGCTCATTTCTTTATCAGTGCTTATCTGTATCTTACGTTCATGACGTGTGGTTGGTTCTACATCTCAAATCAGGCTGTGGTTTCTTCACAACGTGCTCCGTGGGCCACGCCTCCCCGCCCCTCCCCGTGGGGAAGGGGGACACGTGGAAGGGGGCCCAGAGGTGCTAGTGCCTGACCCTGGAGGTGGAGGTAGCCCTGATGCACCCACCCTGTGTGTCCAGCCGCTCGGCGCAGTGCTGGCCTCTCAGCCACCGCCGGTGGGAGCTGGCGCTTCTGCACTGCTCTGTAGCTACTGCCGACCACAGCCTGGCCAAGATGAAGGGGGGAGGTGGGGGGAGGTGACCTCCACAGTCAGCTTTCCCGTCCTGGGGCAGGTGGTGGCCGAGGCAGGCTCAGGGCATGCCTGACGCAGCTCTCCCTTCCCGGTAGGTGGCAGGACCCCATCTTCTCTCTGGCAACGCCCCTGCATGCAGGTGAAGAAGGCAGCCACAGCCAGAGGCCGCTGTGTAGGAACAGAGAGGAGCAGCCGTCCTGTGACCCTGGTGCCCCGCCCCACCCTGCCCCTACTCGCGGGGGCTGGTTCGGCAGGGGCTGTGCCAAGCGCACAAAGAGGAAAAGGGTCACGTAGCCTGCTCGGTGACGGACACAGTTGGCACTCTGCAGAGGGCCAGAACTCTTGTTCAGGGCGAGGGTGACCGTGATGGTCTGGGTAGCCCCCGGGTCTGGCGAGGAGAATCACTGGGGTGACGTTTTTAGCCACTTACCCATCTCTGGGAAGCTGCATCTCTTGGCCCCTCGCACTGCTGTGGGTGCCCCTGATGTGGGCTTGACAGTGGGGACCCCTCCTACCCCCTGGCCCCTAGGTCCAAGAAGGGAGAGTGGTGTTTCACGCCTGGCTGGCCGGAGGGGGCAGACAGCTGCCTTACCTCTCGGTTCCCAGGCCCTTCTCAGGAACCAGCCCTCTTTCCACTACTTAAGAATGTTAACTTTCTGGGAGTCTTTTCCGTTGGTATGCGGTAGAGGGATGGTTTCCAGCCCGGGCTCTCAGCAGCCGTTTTTATCCTTTGTATTAAACATCTCTGCACTGCTCCTCTCATGAAAGGCTCCATCGTGCACGGGGGGCGTCAGTGCGGGTGAGACCCCAGGCGTGGGTCCCTTGATGCGGACGCGTCACAGCAGAGGTTCCTCGAGAGGGCGGTACACACGTCCCAGGACACACTGCTCTGGCCTCTGCCAGCTGCGGGGCAAGTTTGACAGACTGGGTGCGCGGGGGGCGGGGCCGTGGAGGAGGAGGAGGGCGGCTATTGGCTGCCTATAGAGGAGCAGAGCTTCACTACCGGACGGTGCACGCCATTGGCCAGGCTTGAAGGGGCGTGGATCGGATAGTGCGCCTTGCTGTTGGGGCGGTGCGGCCGGGGCGGGGCCCGTGCAGGCGGCGCACACTATTGGCTAGGCGCTGATGAGCCGTCTGGGTGGGGCCTCCGAGTGGCAGGGCGGGGTCCGGCCAGCCGACGCACACCGTTGTGCAGACGAGGATGGGCCGGAGGGTAGTGGGCGGGGCGGCGGGGCGGGCAGAGCTATCCATTGGCCGCGTTCAGCGGGTGAGGCCCGCGTGACGGCGGCCGCGCGTGCGCGCGGCGGGCGGCAGGCGGTGGCGCGGCGGCTCAGAGTGACCGCTAATAGCCAGGCCGCGCCGCCGACCGGCCATGATCCGGAACGGGCAGGGGGCGGCGGACGCTGCAGACCAGTCAGGCCTGGGAGACCGGCGCGCTGTGCGGGTCTGGTGCGACGGCTGGTGAGCGCAGAGGCGGGGTTGTTCTGGGTCGGCGCGGCTGGCCGGGGCCGGCGCCCCCTAACTGCGCTCGGTCCCGTGGCCGCAGCCCCCGGCAGGGAGCGGCTGGCGCTCATGCAAAGGAGAGGTCGTTGGGAGCGGCGGCGCGTCCGCGCGCTCGGGCCTCGGCAGGCCCTTCTCTGAGCAGTCCCAGGACCGGGGTCGGCTCCCGGCGCTCCCCGAGGACCCTGCTGGAAGCCCCCCGAGCCGAGGCATCCTTCACGTTTGGCGTGGAGGCTGGCAGCGAGTCACGCAGTCGGACAGGCTAGGCCGGAGGGCTGTGTGTCAATCAGCCCCGGCCTGACCGTGTGATTGCGACTATTAGCGGGAGCTGGGGAGGCCGGCCGAGGGCGGCGCGTCCCAGGTGTCCTGGGAGGCGGCCCAGCGCAGGTGGCGACGGCCGCGGGTGCCAGCGCTGCAGCTGGATCCTGGGCCAGCGCATGGGCGGGCAGGAAAGCTGGGGCTGCCGAGGGACCCACGTTGCTGGTGAACGTGCTGCTTTGACCGAGCCAAGAGAACCGTCATGCGGCTAGAACTGGATCTGGGCGGGCAGATCCGAACCCAGGCTTCACTGCAGGCAGAAGGGACGTGCTTTGGTGGCAGTGGACTCTGGCCCCAGGCAGGCCCCAGCCACCAGGTCCCAGCAGTGCACCCCACACAGTCGGCCCCCCGCCCATCCTGTGATGTGCTTTCCTGGCTCAGTGCTGTTCAATGGGCCCTTGGCCAGATCACCTAAGACCGTTCTGCCCTCTGCCCCTGGGGCTGAGAGCCCTATGAGCCTGGAACCTTGGGGTGGGGTGAGGGCAGCAAGCGCCGGCTCTGCATGGGGAGCCAGGCAGTGCCTGGGGCCGACTGGGTCATCTGGATCACGCGCTCAGTTTCCTTGTCTGGAGAAAGGGCTCAGCTTCCGTTCATCCGGCAGTGGGGCGCCCGCGAAGCAGGTCCTTCTCATTCCCTGCAGGAACCCAGAGCGTTGCACTGGGTGCTGCGTGCAGCTTTGCAGTTCAAAGTCCGCTTGTAAACAGATTCTGAGGTTGACAACCAGCTCTAGGGACAGGTGGCAGTGCAGGTAGTCATTTACTCCGGAAAGCCAAGTCTCAGTGGGTTTCCAGAAGCAGTCACAGGCTATCCTTTTAGTTAGGGTTTTTTTTTACTGTTGGTACCAGGGAGTGTCCATGATCTCAGGGTAGTTCGGGGTCCAGCCTGCACCCCCTGAATTAATGGTGATTTTAGAAGCACCTTGGCCCCTGGCAGTTGGCATTTGGTGAGAGGAGGGGCCAGAGATGTGGAGACTGGGGCGTTTGCCTGCCATGAAGGACCAGGCTGCAGTTCTCAGAGGCCCTCGGTCTCTCACTAGCATCCTGGGACCATGTAGGGCTGACCGGCTCACTTCTCTCCACAGCTATGACATGGTGCATTACGGCCACTCAAACCAGCTGCGCCAGGCACGGGCCATGGGCGACTACCTCATTGTGGGTGTGCACACTGATGGTGAGCCATGGTTGCTGGGCTGCACCCCCAGTACCACCTGGCCACCTTGCCACCCTGCAGTGCTGAGAAAGGGGGACCCGAGGGTGGGGCTGGGTGAGCCTGCAGCTGGCCTCTGGGGTCACATTCTGCCTTCGTCCTTTCTTCCGGCTCAGAGGAGATCGCCAAGCACAAGGGTCCCCCCGTGTTTACCCAGGAAGAGAGGTACAAGATGGTGCAGGCCATCAAGTGGGTAGACGAGGTGGTGGCTGCGGCCCCCTACGTCACCACACTGGAGACACTAGACAAGTACAGCTGTGACTTCTGTGTCCACGGCAGTGAGTGTGGCTGGGCCCTGGGGTCGAGGGGGGGCCCACCCCCAGGGGCCCCTGGAGCTGATGAGGCCTTTGGTGGTGCCCCAGCCCTGGGTGCCCCTTATGGGTCCGAGGGGCACTCTGGTTCCTTTCCCCAGAAGCCAGCCCACACTGGGTGGGTCTGAATGGGGGCTTGTGGCCGCAGAACGTCGTCTTGGGTTGAGGGTCCTGCTCTGTGTGCATGGTGCCTGTAGATGACATCACGCTGACCGTGGATGGTCGAGACACCTACGAGGAGGTGAAGCAGGCCGGGAGGTACAGGTGAGCCCGCACCCCTGCCTTGTGGTTGCCTTTGTTTCTCTGTTCCTGGGAGCGTGGGGGCGTCTTGTCATGGGACACTGACCTGCCAGAACACGGAACAGGAGGGAGGAGGTGCCTGTTTAGGACGTGGCCTTACCACGTGTGCTGTTCCTGCCCTTGCGGCCACCACGCTCTGGACTAGCACTGTGTGCAGGGGTGGACATTCTAGATCTGTGCTGTTGAGTAGAGGAACGCGGCTGGCGTGGCCGAGGGGCGGCACGTGCAGTCGGGCTGATGTAAGCCTGAGAGTCCAAGGTAGCCGGCAGCTCCGTGTGGGCCACGCCGCTTGGAAACGGCCACAGCGGGTGTTCCCGGGGGTGGGGGGAGACCTGCTCCCGGCTCTGCAGCCATGGGCTTCAGCTGCACAGCACCTCGGAAACCGTCCCAGGGAGCGAGCGGCCAGGCGGGGCGGGACCCGCTCCTTACACTGCAGGCACGGGGAGCAGCACGTGCTCCGGCTGGTCTAAGGGCAGCGGCCTTCCTGCGTCTGGTGCTCAGAGGCGTGCAGGGGTGAGGTGGCATGCCACCGTCCTTGTTGTCCCTGAGGTGCTATTAGCTGGAGGAGCTCAGTGCTGTAGCCTGTGAGGTTGCCAGTCTGAGACCCCCCCCCCCACCTTGTCCCTCAGAGAGTGCAAACGTACCCAGGGCGTATCCACCACTGACCTCGTCGGCCGGATGCTGTTGGTGACCAAGGCGCACCACAGCAGCCAGGTGAGACCCAGGACGCCTGGTCCCAGTCGCAGATTAGGATGTGGTGGAGGAGGGCAGCCCCTCTCCGCCCTCTTCGGTGCCCTCTAGAACATGGGGACTCTGAGAACCAAAGACTCCTGTCGTGGTCCTGTGGAAGAGCTGGGGTGGGTGAGGGGCCGCCCCTTCCTGGCCCCTGCCCTCTGTGGGCTCAGCGCCCCTCAGCCCTTTGCCCCCCCCACAGGAGATGTCTTCTGAGTACCGGGAATACGCGGACAGCTTTGGCAAGGTGAGTGTTGGCCCCACTGGCCAGGGCTCAGCTGCAGGCCCCTCGTCCACCTGCCTGTCCCAGGAAAGGGGCCCGGACCTCCCTCAGCTCTTGTTCCTGGGTGCTGACCACCACGCTGGCCAGCTTGTAGACGCTGGGGGAGGGTGGGTATTCTACTGCCACTTCCTAGAGGAACTTCTGACTGGGTGGCCTGCCTCTCCATTGTGGTCCCCTCACCACCACCCACTGGGGGGGCACTCTCATCAGAAGGCTGCTCCCAGGTGATGACATGGTGGCCTCAGAGTGCCTGGTCTCTGGACATGTATCTGTTGGCCACTGGCCCCACCTCCTCCCCTGGGGACAGTCGTGGGCCTGAGATAGGGGTGCTGGCCTCAGGATGCCCCCTGCCCACTGGTGTTTGGACCGACCTGCCCCTGCCAGCCTGCAGCCTGGGTTACAGATGCTGTCGGAGCCCTGACCTGCAGAGCACCGCCCCCGCTCCTCCATCCCACGTAGTGCCGCCCAGGGCAAACGGGCAGGCAGGAGCATGGGGCCCCAGTCTGCAGAGAGGGCCCTGGGCAGGGGCCTCTGCACTGACCAGCACCTCTCGGCTCGCAGTGCCCGGGGGGCCGGAATCCCTGGACGGGGGTATCCCAGTTCCTGCAGACATCCCGGAAGATCATCCAGTTTGCCTCTGGAAAGGAGCCCCAGCCTGGGGAGATGGTCATCTACGTGGCTGGCGCTTTTGACCTTTTTCGTATCCTCTGGGGGTTGGGGGTCAAGGTGCCTCTCCACAGCTCTGACTCCCCAACTCTCCTAAGCAGGGTAGGGAGCGGGGTGGGGAGTGGGCTGCAGAGGGAGAGCTGTGGGTGGGTGGGTGCTGGCCTCAGGGTCCTGAGCAGCCATGCCAGTCCTCCTTTCCCTGCCATCTGTCCCTTAACCTGGGCACAGACATCGGGCATGTGGACTTCCTGGAGAAGGTGCATCGGCTGGCAGAGCGTCCCTATGTCATCGCAGGCCTGCACTTTGACCAGGTCCTCAGCCAGCACCCACTTGCACCCCTGCAGGAGAGAGCTGAGGGGCCCTGGGCTGACGGGGGACTTGGGGCAGGCACAGGGCAGCAGAACCCAGGGGAGATGGGGGCAGAGGAGACCCCCAGCAGGGACGTGAGGTGGGCACTCCTCCCAGCCACACCCTGCCGAGCACTCCCTAGGTAGGGGGAGGCCACAGAGTGATGGCTGGCCGGGAGTTGCCTCCCTGCACCACTGGAGGTGGTGGCTGACCCAACCCCTCCCTCCCAGGAAGTCAATCGCTACAAGGGAAAGAACTATCCTATCATGAACCTGCATGAGCGGACCCTGAGCGTTCTGGCCTGCCGGGTGAGTACCCCACACGAAGCTCCAGGTAGGACCTGCAGGCCTCAGGCTCCCGGCCCCACGTGGACAGTAGTCCCCTCTTGGTGCTGAGTCCAGGCCTTGTGAGCCCCTAGTCCAGGGCCCTCTCCCAGTACCCATTGGCCGTGGCTGGGGGGCTGGGGCTGTGCTAGCTGTATGCTGTCCCCACAGTACGTGTCGGAGGTGGTGATTGGGGCCCCCTACGCAGTCACAGCAGAGCTCCTGGACCACTTCAAGGTGAGGCTGTGGTGGGCCGGTGGGAGGGGGTGCCGGGCAGCTGCCTCCCAGGGAGGACTTCCTGATCCCTGCTCCCTTCCAGGTGGACCTGGTATGTCACGGGAAGACAGAAATCGTGCCGGACAAGGATGGCTCTGACCCGTACCAGGTAGGTGTGTGGTGGGAGTGGTGGGCCTCACTGCTCCGATGGCCTCACTGGGGGATGGGAGGAGCCATGTCTGCTAGGAACAGAGACTGAACGAGCAAGTGCTCCCACCCCATGGGGAGGCCGCGCCACACGGGTGGGGTGGCAGGTGGTGTCCCGTCTGTGTTGGGTGGAGCAGCTCAGTCTGTCCTGCCGGCCTGCAGGAGCCCAGGAGGAGGGGCATCTTCTGCCAGGTGGACAGTGGCAGCAACCTTACCACCGACCTCATCGTCCAGAGGATCATTCAGAACAGGTGAGGCTCGGGGTGAGCCCAGCCTGGGCTGAGAGGGCACCATGACTTCTGCGAGGCTCACCCCCGCCTGTCTCCACAGGCTAGAGTATGAAGCACGGAACCAGAAGAAAGAGGCCAAGGAGCTGGCCTTCCTGGAGGCCTCCAGGAGGCAGGAGGCGGGGCAGGTGGAGAGTGACTGTGACCTCTGACCCTGGGGGGAGTGGCCAGCTGCAGCCCCTGGCCCTCACCTGCTCTGCTTCCCATGGCTTAGAGGCCCTTGTGAGGCCGAAGGGCCAGCTCGCTCGGGCTGCTCATCTGCTGAGCTGCACTCGGCGTGGGGCCGGCGCCGTGAACCAGGGCCCCCGCTAACTCTCTGCTCTGGCATCTCCTGCAGAGCACCTCAGGGCCCGCGACGCGCCGGGGCTGGGTTGGCCCCTCAGTGGGTCACGGAGGTGGGTGCTGCTGGGCAGAGGGACCCGGCCCATCTCTCCTCCCGGGAGGCCCTGCCCTGCAGTGCCCCGGGAAGGTGGCCTTCCAAGAGCTGCGAGCCCGGCCTCCCTCTCTGCTGTGTCCAGACCCTCTAGACCTGGTTTTGTACCTGACTCACTGTTGGTGTCTGGGCTGCAACTCAATAAACCCGTGGGAAGCTCCACCTTGGCTCCAGCCCTGCTGGCGGGACCGGCCCTGGGGCAGGCAATGCTCATCAGCTAGTGACCCTGAGGAGGTTCCCGAGGGTCCTCCACCAAGGCCCCACCCACTGAGAGCAGGGCCGGCGCCCCCTGAGACCCACAGGTCTCAGTAGAGCAGCCTTCTCCCCAGGTGGGCTCCCAGGGCATCCGTGGGGATACACTGGGACTTGGTAGCTTGGTTTGGCTGTATACAAGCCAGGCTCTCAGGAGGGTGTTCCAAACCCTGCTGCTCTCCTTCCATCCAGAGCAGGGACTCCTGTGGCAACCTGCCTGGGTCCTGAGGAAGGGGTCTTGTTCTTTGCTTTGTCCTGGTAGCGTGGCTTCCAAGGGCAACTCTCACAGGCGAGTGCTGCAGCGCAGAGAGCTGTCAGCCCCAGGGCTCACCCAGGCTGTGACTACCATGTGCTCTAGGAGCTGGGGCCACCCTTAGGAGGCAGGATACCTGGGAGCAGAGCTCAGGCCACCTGCCTCCTCTGGGGATCTACCCAGCCAGGGGTGGGGCTGGGTGGCAATGAGGAAGACTGTGGCCCAGGTCTGGAGCCTTCAGGGACTCTGCCTTTGAGTCCCTGAGTATGGGGGGGCTTTGTGTTAACTGCTAAACTGATTCCACCCACGCACTCCCTCCTAGGCTCAGATGCCCAGGCTGCTTTCTCACAGCCCCAGGACCTGAGGGGGCGCTGCCCTGACGAGAGGCGGCTCTCAGGGCTGGGGTGGGTTTGTCCAGGCCTGCACAGGCCCAGGCTGCCAGGGGAAGGGCAGGTGGGCAGCCCCTGGTAGGTTGCACTATCCACCTGTGGGCTCAGGAGAGCAGGACCCTGCCCCTGCCCACGCCACCCACTCCCACCCAGTCCCCTTGGAGGCTGCTTCGCTTTTGGCTTTATTCATTTAGTCGTTTACTAGGGAGGGGAAGGGAAGCCGTTGTCGCCTGGTGCGTCTGGGAGTGTGCAGCAGCCCGGCCCGGATCAGGGCGTGGCAGGAAGCCAGGGGGTCCGGTTCCCATCTGGGCTCAGGCTCCGCGGCAGTCGGTGGCACGCAGCGACAGGACGACGTCTGCCTTGCACTGGAAAGTCCCGACGCTGTCGGGGTGGCGCCAGCAGCTCCGCGGGCTGGGGACGACTTGCCGGATGCACACGGCCTGCGGCAGACGAGCAAGTGGGCACCCGTTGAGGATCTGCGCCCCTCGTCCCCCAGCGCCCCTCGTCCCCCAGCGCCCCTCGTCCCCCAGCCCGCAGCCCTCCACTTCCCCGGGTCCACCCTCACGAGGCTCTGCGGGCTGGGGCGCAGCTCCAGGAGGACGTCGGCCCGGCCCGGGGGTCCCACCTCGGCCGGGGGCTCTGCGCGCCGCGCGTGCGGCGATCTGCGGAGGCCGGAGAGCAGCCCCGCGGCGCGGCCCACCGAGTAGTAGCCGGGCCCAGCAGCCGCCCGGTACCACGCGCGCCCCGGCGGCGCGAGCAGCAGGACCAGCGC